GTTGGATGATTAATCATGATATTTTTCCAAAGATGCCAGCTCATTACATTTTAACATACATGCACCACAAAAGGTTACACATAAACATAATAAAATTCTAAGATCCTGGATAAACAAAAGGTTACCACCAAAAGTCTAAGATTCTGGATATCATATAAAATTTAGTAGTAAGGAGGGAACAAGTGGTTTACTCTCAAACCTCTTTGGTCCCAGAATGATGGAACAAACACGCGAGGTGCACAAATAGTGCTATTAAAATCATTTCTGACATTGGGAAAAAAAAAAGGGAGGGAAAGAAAAGCATCTGTAGGTTTGTCATATGCAAACATATTCCATTATTAACTGAACAATGAATGAGAAATTAAACCATATGGTTTTCAAAATATGTTCTTCATCACCTACCGTAATAATATCAGAGATTCCACGGACACCTTGCCGAAGAATATCATCTGCCAGATTAAATGCTTCAGTTACTGGAGTAGACTGGTTGACTGCAGTCAATAACTTGTCATTTGGAATAACAATCAGGGTGTCAACTTTGTCTCTGAGAGCAGCAATTCCTTCCTGCGCTTGGACAGCTCTCCTTCTTCCCTCAAAAGAAAATGGGGTTGTGACAATACCGACAGTCAAAATACCCATTGACTTTGCTACCCCAGCAATGACAGGAGCTCCACCAGTTCCAGTCCCTCCACCCATTCCAGCCTGGAGATGTAAACTTTAAGTTCTGGGGAAAAAGTTAAATAACAACTCTACAAAGAGAAAATAAGACCAAAGACCACTCTGCTCGTCCTACTTTTTAGTTAGATTTTTAAATAAGTGAAAATTATTACTTTATTTCAGATTTAACTAAATAAGCACTAAATATCAATACATCCACAAGCCACACGCTTACATACCCAGAGCCAGCACTTTTACAGCTATAAGTGCATAGAAGGAATGCAGAGTTAAAATCCCCAAGAAAGAGGACACTTCTGACTCAGAACAATATGATCATAAAAACATGGAACTTTGTTTTTGTAACTTAATTGAATGAGGATGTTATGAACACAATTGGGTGTTACCAGTCTAAACAATAATAAATATGCTCAACAGCAAGCCAAACTTTTCTCATATTTTTTTATTATACACCACTTTTTTGCATAAAAAAGCAAGCAGAGTTTGAGTTGTATTCTGTCATTTCAAACTTTCTGAAGTTCATAAACAATTAAATCTTGACATTCATGTTTGTACATATTCAGTATTGAATTTATGTACTGCAGAATGAATTAATTAAATGTGAACCACTCTACTGCAGATAAGAACTTGAAGAGATATCCAATAAAAAAAATAGCCAGGTTGAACTTACTGTAACAAAAACCATATCAGCACCATAGAGTGCCTCTTCTATGGCCTCTGTGCTTTCTTTGGCAGCATTCATGCCAATCTCTGGGTTCCCGCCAGCACCAAGACCCCTAGTTAACTCCTGACCAATCTGTAACCGATGCTCAGGAAAGACAGGTGACATTCTCATGGCTTGAACATCAGTATTGACAATCCAGAATTCCACACCCTTCATTTCGCTTGCTATCATGCGATTCACAGCATTTGACCCACCACCTCCAACGCCAATAACTTTGATCTTGGCTTCATTATAATTACCTGGAGCAGATGTGTCTCCCAAGCTCTCAATGACACTTTCCCTGGAACTATCCTTCCTTGGATTCGTAATTGTGTTGTTCTCTTCACCTCTAAGCATTGAAACCTCAGGATGTAGATTAAGAAAAGGGTCTTTGTTCTGATATGGACTGACACTTTGGGAGTTTGCAGAACATCTCAAACGCAGCATCGCAGACTTTTGGCTGGCACTTGGAACCCTATTTCCACTCTTCTCATCAGGTATTTTTGTGCAACTAATTCTCCTCAAATGATTCTCCCTTGATATGCCCCTTAGTACCCCCATAGATCTAGTATCAAAATGCGTAAAGGAAGGAGACATTGAAGTGGTCATCTTTCAAACCACAACACTTAGAAATAAGACGTGAATAAGATGATAAATGTATAAGAAATTAAAGCCCTGAAAGGCTTAAACTTTCAATCCACAGCAACTTTTCCTTCTGAGCCCTGTTTACAAGAAACGAAACAATGAAAAAGTTAACCAGAAATATTTACAACATTTCACCGGCTACATACTAACAGTGTGTATCTGAGAGTGACCCTTGAACGAGGAATAACAATAGCAAACCTCACAAGTGGGTTATACTTTAAAACAGCAAAATGCAGATACGCTAGATTGTCTACAGGCTACAGCCTAGTAAATCAAGTACACAACCCCCCTAAAAGGTGCAGCATATAAATAATATAGAACAATTTTCCCATATACCATTCGAAATTAGAAAGAGAAACCCATCATTTAATTGCTAAAATGCTGAACTAGGAAGTCTACGGTGACCAGATAACGCAATTCACTACCAGAGAGAAATGCATATTAAATATAAAAAATACAAAAACAACTGCA